GAGGGAAGAGATGAACAGAAGGAACCCAACCAGGCAGGCAGGAAGGGAAGGAAGGAAGGAAGGAAGAAAAGAAGGAAAGATGGATGGAAGGAAGGAAGGAAGGATGGAAGGAAGGAAGGAAAGGAAGGAAGGAAGGGAAGGAAGGAAGGAAGGAAGGAAAGGAAGGAAGGGAAGGAAGGAAGGAAGGAAGGAAAGGAAGGAAGAAAAGAAGGAAAGATGGATGGAAGGAAGGAAGGAAAGAAGGAAGGAAGGAAAGAAAGGAAGGAAGGGAAGGAAGGAAAGGAAGGAAGGGCTGGTTTTTCTAGGGTGCCAGTGTTGCAGATTAGTTGGTGGAGCTTTTCTTGCAGGGTGGGGGGCAGGGAGGTCTTTTCGGCCTTGGAGGACAAGCTGCTGCCCCTGACGAAGGAAGAAAGGAAGGGAAAGAAAGTAAAAGAAGGGGGAAAAAAGAAAAGGAAAGGAAGTGTAGGAAATAGGGAAAAGGAAGAGAAGAGAAAGGAAAGGAGGAAGAAGGAAGGAAGGAAAAGAGGGAGAGGGGAGTGAGATAGGCAGGAAGGAAAGAAAAAGAGGGAAGGAAAATGAGGGAAGGAAGGAAAAGAGGCAGTAAAAAAGGAGGGGAGGAAAAGGGGGGACGGAGGAAGGAAAGGAAAAAGGAGTGGGAATATAAAGAAGAAAAAGAGAAGTGGGAGAAAGAGAAAAGGGGGGATAATGGGAAGAGAGGGAGTCGGGACCCCCACAGGGGACCTCTTGCCTTCTGGGACGTGGCTGTGTGGCCCCCTTGGCTGGTCCCCGCCGGCATTTCCAGGCTCCACCTGGCACAGGTGGGCAGGACCCCTGGTGTCCCCCTACCCTCCCCCCCATCCAATCCTCTCCCTCCCCCTTTGCCCCCGGGGGCCCTTTCCAGCCCAGCCCTGGCCCCCCCCCCCCCCCGGTGCTGCTCTTCCTTCGGGGCCCACGCGGGCTGGGCTGGGGTCTCCGCCGACGTCACGTTTCCTCCTCCCAGCCAAACAGGGGCACCAAACGGACCCGGGAAGACGAGGAAGAGGAGCTGAAGACGCGGCACAAGCCGGTCGCCTCTCGGGAGCGTGGCCGTTACCGGGAGGAGGAGCCCCCGGCAGCCGAGGAGTCGGAAGATGAGAAGAAGAAGCTGCTCCACATCATCGAAAGAGGCGAGGAGGAGGAGGAAGAGGTGAGGGTCTCGCCCTGCCCTGGCTCCTGGCTCCTGGCTCTGGCCGGTAGCCGACCCCCCCCTCCCCCGGGCCCTTCGGTCACCTGCTCCCTTCCGGGGCCACGCAGACAAGGCAGCGCTTTCGGGGGGACGGTGGTGGTGTCCCCACTTGAGTGCAGAAACCATGGCTTCTCCAACAGTCTTAGAACTGGCACCTCCAGCCTCGGCCCCTTGGTGACTCAGGGTCTTCAACGTGTGGACTTCAATTCCCAGAATCCTTTTCTACGGGTTGAGATATTCCGGGAGCTGGAAGTCCGCAAGGGGCCGAGGTTGGAGACCCCCCCCGTCACAGAACGTAGAATCCTCTCCTGTCAGTTCCTGCATTTTTCCTGCAAAGCGGGGACGACGACTGTTTTTACAGTTCATTTAGTGACTGTTCGAAGCTACAGCGACACTGAAAAAAGTGGCTTCTGACCGTTTTTCACACTTACGACTGTTGCAGCATCTCCCTGTGCTCATGCGCTCAACATTCGGATGCTTGGGAGATATTTACGATGGTCACAGGGGTTGTTTTTGCGACCTTCCTACTCCTATTCTATTCCTATTATCTATTCTAATTCTATTCTATTTCTATTCTATTCTAATTCTTATTTCTACTCTACCTCTTCTCTTCTCTTCTCCTATGCATTCAATTCCGTATTTTCTATTCCTATTCTTAGCAAGCGCAGGGAGCACCAAGGAGCCCCCTCCCACCAATTGTTACCTGACACAGCAGTGGGGAGGGAGGGAGCAATGGGGTGGCAAAATGAGGGACCCTCCCAGCTGCCACTTGCCAGTGTTGGGCCCCCCCCCGATCCGAGACCCCCTTTAGCAGGCGGACAGTCCCAAGGCCACGGGGTGGGGGAGTCTCTTCCACCTGGGCTTGTGGTGGGTGCCGGAGGTGGGCTGTGACTGTCTCCTTAAACGAGGCTGTGTTTGGGCAGGAGGAACCTCTGGACGAAAGCTCCGTGAAGAAGATGATCCTCACCTTTGAGAAGAGGTCTTACAAGAACCAGGAGCTCCGGATCAAATTCCCGGACAACCCCGAGAAGTAAGTTGGGTTGGGGGGGTGGTCCTGCCTGTTTCTCTAGGGGCCGCTCTCCGGAAGGCGTCCAGTCCTCATGGTGCGAAGGGAGACGGAGGTTCCTCTTCTCTCCTCTCAGAAGGGAGGCTGAAGTTCTCAAGGCTCTTCAAACGTGGCCAGTTTAAGACTGGTGGACTTCAACTCCGAGAGTTCCTGAGCTAACAGGACTGGAGGAGGAGGAATTCTGGGAGTCGAAGTCCACAAGTCTTAAAGCTGTCAAGGTTGAAGGCCCCTGATCTATTACCTACCTATCTATCATCTCTCTCTCTCTTCTCTCTTCCTCCCTCCCTCCCTATCATCTATATATCTAGCTATGTATCATCTATCTATCATCTATCACAAGGGCCTTCAACCTTGACAGCTTTAAGACTTGTGGACTTCAACTCCCAGAATCCCTGAGCTAACATGGCTGGAGGAGGAATTCTGGGAGTTGAAGTCCACAAGTCTCAAAGCTGTCAAGGTTGAAGACCCCTGATCTATTACCTACCTATCTATCATCTGTCTCTCTTCTCTCTCCCTCCCTCCCTCCCTATCTATCATCTATCTATCTATATATCATCTGCCTATCATCTATCACAAGGGTCTTCAAACTTGGCAAGTTTAAGACTTGTGGCCTTCAACTCCCAGAGGTCCTGAGCTAACATGACTGGAGGAGGAATTCTTGGAGTTCAAGTCCACAAGTCTTAAAGCTGTCAAGTTTGGAGGACCCCGCTGCTCTAGCGGTTCTCAGTCATGAGCTGTGGTGGCGCAGTGCTTACAGGGCGGTACTGTAGGCTGCTTCTGCTGACTGCTAGCTGCCACCCGTTTGGCAGTTCGAATCTCACTAGGTTCTAGGTTGACTCAGCCTTCCTTCCTTCTGTGGTCGGTAAAATAGGGACCCTGATTGTTGAGGGCAAGAGGCTGACTGGAAACCGCTCAGACAGGGATGTAAAGGCAGTGTGAAGGAGTATATAAGTCTATGTGCTAAGTGGGAAGGGAGGGAGGGAGGGAGGAAGGGAGCAAGGAAGGAAGGGAGGGAGGGAAGGAAGGAAAGGAAAGAAGGAAGGGAGAAGAAGGACAGAAAAGAAAGGAAAAGAGGAAAGGA